TACTTGTGGAGTACCACAGAGGTTAGAGCTCGACCCTGTTCTCTGGAAGATAAAAAGAGTTGGCCCGAGCTCTGAATAGTAAAGAGATGGAGAGTACGGTCGGCTCCGGCGGCGGTGACTGCGTTCTAGAAAGACGATTCTGTAATTATGCTGCCATAGTCTTAGGCTGCTGGAGGACAAACTGACCACATCTCCTCACTTTCTTCTTCTCCTACTCTTCAAAATTAAAAAAACTGTTAATTTTGTGTTTTATTAGTTTTTTTCCCCTCCATAAATAAAACCGATGTCATGTTATCACCATCTGTTGTCAAGCAGAAATCTAGTCAAAACGTTTTAAGAACATTTTCACTCACTCTTACCAAGAAATATGACTCAGACACACTACCTGACCTCTGACACGTACTGCTATTATTAGAAAGCAGTGAACTGTTGACCTTTAACTCGCACGCTGCCATCATCGACCTGCATCACACAATGGAGGGTCAGTCAGGATCAGCTAACAGCTATCCGACAATACAAGTCAACGGGGTTTTATGGCTATCAACACAACTTCTACCTCTGCTACGGTTTGATACTGAAGCATATCGCATGCAGCCATTGTGTGGGTTATCTGCACTGCAATATTTTGTCTGATATCATTTAATACTGCAGCACCATTGTTGATGTGACTGCCTCGCTTTGACTGATGAGTTCTTTGACTCTTATTTTCAGGTTCATCGTGTATTTTCACAATCAAAACATGTTGTTGCTGGCAAAAATGTTGGTTTCAATTAAACACAAACTATTTAGAGGCGATCTAAACAGGCTTTCTGCAGCTTTCGCCAACCTCAAATTTAAGACCTTTTTTAAGACCACAGCGAATGAAATTAAGACCTATACCTCCACAGAAATGTGCAAACTTTGTCCAGCCAACTGGGGATGAATTTGCATTTACTTTTTGTAAACATAAAAAGTTAGCTTGCTGGCAAGGTTATGCTAGCAGTGCGTTACCAATAGCCTCAAAAGCTCCACAAGAAGAAGAAAAATAACATATACAGAACATACAGGACTGTTCTATAAGTCAAGATTAAATTTAGGTCTTCTGATTAACATATTTGAGGCGATGAAACGAACCTTGTTATAGCCTGTTTGAATGTGCAACCGCGTGTGAAAGTATTGTGAATGATTTTTCTTCTACTTCAGAACTGATGTGCTCATTTGTGTCCCAATCAAATATGTTGATGTTTGTTGTCATAATGTTAGAAATGTGACAAAGTTGAACACATATGGATACTTCTGCAGGGCAAAGCGTTTATAAAGCATGAACGTAGTAAACATTTTGTCTGCTTCTACTTGAGCTTTCTTCAATAAGGACGCACTTTCAGCAGTTTCCTATTTGACCAACAGTTGCTTCCTCACAACCGAGGCCAAACTTATCATACAATGAAGCGCGTGAAAACGCTAGAAAACAGGCCGGGGCATTATCCGACAGTAATGAATGTGCGTATTCATGTAGTCTACAGTAGGGCAGGAGGGTACAAAGGTAGGTTTTGTTCCCCCATGTCGCTGGGACTTCAGCTTTGCTTGGCCATCATGGATAAATGCCCCGCTTATCGGCCACAGAAAAACACTGGCACACACACTTCTGTGCAGAGTTGAAGAGCTGCAACATTGCAAAAATAAGGAATAAACATCTGCACACTAAAAACACAGTTAGTATGAAGCTAAGACGCCCCTCTGTTTGTTTTTTGACTCAAGCCTCCTTGTGTTCTTCTTCTGCAGCAGCTGCCCGCACTGATAGCCGCTTTGTTTTCCACGAGTGCCCCTTAATGAGGTCAAAGGGTATTTAGGACCATTGAATGCGACGAGGAGAAACAAGAGCTACCCTCATCTTGGTCCAATTACAGGCATACACACACATTGCATCTTTTTATCTTCACAAGGACTTTGCGTTTGACTTCCATTATTTTTTCCCTGAACTCTTTCTAGAACCACAACGGCAAAGATGATCTTGGTGAAACATAAAACATTCGATCTCAGCCGAATGTTGCTTGGACTTTTTCACTCAGAAGCCATTGTGTGGGACATAATGTTGGTTTGTCTTGCTGAAATAATCGACACCTTCTCTGGCAGAAAAAAAAAGAAGAAAGAAATCAAAACCGATCACTAAGATTGGTGTCAAAAAGAGAAACCACCAGCTGGTTCTAACTAAGCAAATAGGCTTGATCCACCCACTGGAAGTGCACTGCACTGAGTAATATGTTCCAGCTGCCACCAAGTTCCTTAACCCTAATGGATGCTGAGATTTGCACTCGTTCTCTAAATGACCGTGTCAAATGGCACATCCTGTGGTCGGGGAAAAGATCTTGTTCTTTCTTACAAGGATCACTTATTGTTCTGCATCAAGAACTGAAAAGAAAGCAAACAAAGACCAAGAGCTATACAAGGCAGTCGATGCTTAGCCGTCAGATGTCGGTTTAGTTGCTACGCCTCGTCTACTGCCACAGAAGTGCTGCAAGACTTTCCAGATTACTATTCTCTTCTGTATAAATCTGTAAAACAACTTCAATTTTAACCATTTAAACCAGTTTGAATACTTGATATCACTGCGATTTATGAGAAATACACAACAAATATGATTTAAGGAGGGTTTTTTGTTTAAGGGAATCTACTGAGCTATTAGGAAAATAGAAATCTAAATGGCTAAATTAGTCAAAAGAGAGTCTTGACTCTTTCTTATATAAAGGTTTTACATGTGCACTTAAACAAAGCAACAAGGATAACTTGATTAATTAGAAATTATTGACCTCATGAATTAAAATGATGTCTGAGGTTTCATAATGTGAAGAAAATCCTTAGAATATTGCTGAGGAAAAAGGCCTCGAATCCCTATGAGCTGAAATATAAAGTCTGATGCCTTCAGATGAGTCATCTTTCTACTTTTAGCATCATTTGCTAAAAGAAAAAGAAAAAAAAGGAGGTTTGACTTTCTCCAATAGATCTTATCTCAATGATCTCATGAGCATATTTCAAGATGAGGAAACCTGGCTTCACCATTACAAAACTATGAAGCCCTAACAGCACATCTATTCTTTACATCACAGTGAGCAGAGCCTAATGTAACGGATAATCTTTATGTGCTAGGGGAGAGTTTGTACAGTAATCTGATACCATTTTCTTTACCTTCCTTCCTTTCCATAGTTATATTTAGATTCTGTGATTACCTACATTTTAGATGCATAATCTGTAATTTTGCACATTTTAAACATTTAATTAAAGTGGATGCTTTTGTTAATCACTCAGATTAGGTTCCAGTTTAAATATTTATGTGGAACACTTTAAGCCAGGGGTGTCCAAAGTTGGTCCTGGAGGGCCGGCATCCTGCATGTTTTAGTTCTCTCCCTGGTTTAACACACCTGGATCAAATGATGGCTCGTTAGAAGGCCTAAAAGGAACATTGACATGCTGAAAAGGTTGTTACTATCACCAGGGAGAGAACTAAAACATGCAGGATGCCGGCCATCGAGGACCGACTTTGGGCACCACTGCTTTAAGCTCTAGTGAGCATTGAGGGTTTTACCAAAGACAATTATTAATCAAATTTAAGCCCTATACCACCATTGAGATGTACAAAACAAATGTAGGGGACCAAAACTGTGAAGTTTCTGTGGTCTTTTTGTGGCTCTTGGCAGCAACTTTGTGCTTCTCACATGCACAATGTTGTACAGCGCTAGCTAGCTACCTATGTAACTGCGTAGAGAGCCATATGCTAGTTGCTAATGGTTTGTTTGCTTACTAACTAGCTACCTAGAGTGCCATATGCAAGTTAATAATGGTTTGTCTGATTTCCAACTAGCTACCTGGCTGGAAAGAAAACAGACTCTCTAGCTGGCTAGATATTAATGAACCATATGGTAGCTGCTAATGGGCTGCCTGCTTTCCATTTAACTAGCTAGCTAGAAAGCCACATGCTAGATATTAATGACCCATATACTAGTTGCTAATGGTTAGCCTGTTTGCTTTCTAGCTAATAAGCTAGCTAGAGAGCCACATGCTAGCTGTTAATGAGATGTATAGTGGCTGCTAATGGTTAATCTGTTTGCTTTCCATCTAACTAGCTAGCTAGAGAGCCACATGCTAGCTGCTAATGGTTCACTTTCTAGCTAGGTAGTTATATAGCCATATTCTAGCTTCTGCTGAGTCATATGTTAGCTGCTAATGAGCCACATGCTAGCAATTAAAGGATTGTTTGATTACAAGCTAGCTAGCTGCTAATAAGGACGTGGTCATTAGCAGCTAGCATAGTTGACATCAATTTAGATGTCCACTAACCCTATTATGTACAATTTGGTACCAAATACCAGCTGTTAAAGGATTGTTTGTTTGTTTGCTGGCTGACTGGTATAGCAGCTTGTTCCTGGCAACTTTAATGGCTTTGAGTCACAGAACGCAGTGAGTGAAGATGTCTGCGGACAACTCAAACTTTAGCCTGATAGAAAAGTCCAGCAAGAAAAACCTACATAGACTATGTAAGATTAAATACAATTGTGATTGATGTATTTAAGGCCACCTTGCACTTCCTTAATGAAGTCAAGTCATTTTAAGGCCTTAATTTTAGATAAATGAATTTAAGACTTTTTAAGGATGCGTGTACATTATGTTTTATAGTGTCATAAATGTCTTTTTCCCCCCCATTTATTGCAAATAAGATCATGGATTTCTCCTTTAAAACGTCCCAACAGTCGGTCGGTGACCTTTCTGCCTCACAAGTCAGCTTGAGAGGAGGCTGTGTTTAACTGTCAGCACCCCCTGGCCGTCTGACTCACCTGGAAACAAACCCCCTTTATTGAGTCAACAGCCATCTTTGATTAGATGAGTGACTCAGCAGGACAGTTCTTAACAAGTGTGTATGTGTGTGTGAGGGGGTACGATGAATGAGAACATTTGTGCTCATGTGGGAATATGTAAATGCGAGTAACTGCGGCGGTACGAGACAGACCGCGGGGGTCCGTTTGTCGTACCTCGTGGTCGGGTATTTCTGAGGACAGCGTCTTTCCCAAGACCGTCGCGGTCAGGAACGTCCAACAGCGGGCCGTGTTGGCCAGGTTGTAACCTCCTGGAGACAAAACAAGCAGGGCGCAATGAGTTCAAGGATGAGCACAGTAACAATTTTATTTTTGTCACGTCTTGACAGCTTTATTTGGTGGATGCTTCCAGGACAGTACGTGTAAGTCAAAAGCTTATTACCCCTCCTCCCCAAACAAACAATGAAGGAGCGATGATGAAGAGGGCGGATTCGAGGGAAATCAGGAGGATGGCAAGAAACGAGCGGGAGAGGAGGATACAGCACAGAGAGAAAGTATGTAGGACAAGGAGGGAGAGGGGGAGAGAGGAAGAGAGGTCGGATTGTAGTGGAGTAAAATGGCTTCATTGTGTCGCATAATTAGTCGCTATCATCTGGCCGAGGGGCTGAGGAGTCTGAAACAGGGCGCCGTGTGTGAGGAAAATTCAAACGCACGCGAAGAATACGGCCCGCATTCTGGATCTTTATGAAGTCACAGGTACGTTTACATCTGGAGGACATTCAAAAACACATGGCCGGCCAGAATAACACGCACGCAAACACACATAGACACACACAGAGAAAAGAAGGAGAGAGAGAGAGAGTACCTCCTCCCAGCAGCAGGGTAGGTAGCTGCCACTGCAGGACGTTCAGCAGACATTTGGCCACCCCTACAGGGGTCATGTTGAAGGAGCACATGGGATCGCCCGCCATGGTGTCGGCGCCCAGCTGCATCAGTACGGCCTCCGGGTTGAACTGCGACCGCACCTCCTGCATCACGCTGCGGAGCAAGCGGAAACGTCTCCCATCATGCATTTCAGTAGATACCCCTTCCAGTGGCATCAATTCAGACGACAACTAACCCAAACAGTTACAATTTGATACCAAAAGCCTTCAACGGTCATCGGACGTGATGGAGCTCACCTGGTCCCAACGCATCACTCGGGTAAAAACTGGAGGTTATGAATGACCGAGTGGCGCCAAAATACAATAAAGATCTGCTGTTGTTGTACCAGAACCTCTCAGGTCTTCTTGGTTCTGATCTGCATCCCAAGAACCAGAACCAAACAAGCAGAAGCAGCATTCAGATTCTATGTACCACAACTCTGGAATAAACTTCCAGAAAACTGCAAAACAGCTGAAACACTGAACTCCCTTCGATCAAGCCTAAAAACCCAGCAGCTTTTGATTAGTAGTAAGTGGAACACTGATCAACATATTTGATTGATCGATTGACTGATTGACCTGCCAGCTTATAGTGATTTGAGACATTTCAGTGTAGTTCTATAAAAAAAAAAAAAAAACCTCAACACTCTTAATTTCTTTATATTTCCCAGATTAAAGGAGACGGAGTATTTAAAGTGGTCTTGCTCAGTACAGTGACTGTCTTCCCCATTAAAGGAGACGTAAAAAGCTTTAAATTAAACAAAATTCACACTTTAATTCACCTGCATTTATTCAGGGCACATTAGGAAAGAATTGTTTCGACCAACATCAGAGGCGCTGCTGAAGTAAAAGCCGAATCGACTTGACAGCTTTTTAGACATCTTTATCAGGAGTGGCACTAAGCCGTTCCTCTAACAAGGGTTTTAGAGCTTCGAAAAGAAAAATTTAAGAAAAATTAAAGAAGTAAATTTAAATTGAAGGATTACAGATTTCTGTGGAACATTAGAATAATACTGAGAGAAAGAATTATTAAGCTGCCTTTGCTTGACTAAAGCCTAAAAGGTTTCAAATCAAACCTTTTTCCTTCCTCTCTATGTTTGAGCGATTTTATTTACCTGGTGAAAACCTGGAAGTATCTGTCGTCCTGGATGCCGTCCTCCAGTGGGATGTTCACAGCGTACCAACGGCCTTTTCCGAGCCCCGTGTCACAGACGTCGCCGGTGCCTAAAGATCGACGCCCTTATTTTTAAGGACTCAGAATGAAGATGATCGTACAAGGATCACAGTTCCTTCACGTTTTCTTATCAAAATTAGACTTTCCTGGACTGGACAGATCTAGTTTAAAAACCACAAGTCCAGTTTAAACAGAGCTCTGGTCCAAAAAGATCTAGTGAAATCTTTTAGTGACTAAAACCTGAAGTCTGATGAGTAAAATGTGAAAATCGATGTGCTAAATTGCAAAACAAAGATATCAGGTCTTTAGAAAATAGGAAAAAAAAAAAAAAAAAAGCAGAGAGTTTTCACTGACCGGGAAAAAATCCAGGAGAAAACTTGTGCAGAGAAACCGTCATAACCTTTGATGTGAAACTGAAGGCCTCCTCCACACCTGTGCCACAGAGTAAAAACAAAAATTCATAATCCACCAGTAAAAAAAATGCATTCAACATTTGTAATCTTTACAAAGACTTGAAATGTTTTAATTAGTTAGAAAGAGCCAACGTATAGAAATGAAACCCATCTTAAGGAGGATAAAGAGCTGCTTTCCATCTCTGTGCGCGTTGCCCGTACCGTCTCCATGATGCAGGTCAACGTCCACGTACAGAACCCGCTCATGTTTCTCCCTCAGCTTGAGGATCCCCAGCACAGCATCGTTCACGTAGCAGAACCCTGAAGCCTCATCCCTGGAAAACACAGAAGATAGAAAGAATCAAGACATTTTTCTTTACATAGATAAAAAAAAATATAAAATTTATATATATATATATATATATATATATAGTTTTTTGTAAATAAAAAGGGTTACACTTTATTTGAAAGGGTGTTCATAAGACTGACATGATACTGTCATAAACATGACATGAGTCTTCATGAATGTTTATGACTGAATGTCCATTAAAAGTGTCAACTTTGCATTATTTGGTAAATAACGACACTCTAATGAAAATGTGGCACTTTTAATAGAGTTTTAATGCAACGTTTAAATCAACTTTGCATTAAAAGTGTCATTATTTACTGAATAACACTTCATGACAACAGTCATAAACATTCATAAAGACTTCTTTATGTTCATGACAGGTGTTATGTCATGTTAATGACTAAATAAATCAGGTAAATTAAATATTATTTATATATTTTATTTATTAATATAGTTTTTATTCACTTATATATTATATTTTTTGGAGAAATTGCTTTATGGCATATAAAATGGCAAACATGGACCCAAGTTGAATAATCTAACGAATGCTTTCCAAAATTTTGTCACATCCACACACTCCTATGTATATAATTGGGATTTTATTTGACAAATAAACACAAAATTGTAAAAAGAAAAGGAACCGAAAGAAAAACGCTTCGTTGTTTTTTTATTTTTTACAAACCAAAAAAATTTAGTGCTTTCGTACTTCCTTCACTTTCCTCTGATATCACCAAATTAAGTGCCAGAGCAAGCAGCTGCGTCATAAAGACCAAAGAGAAACAGTAGAGAAAGGCAGGCTATTAAACTAGAACAGACTCAGTTTGTCTGGCCCTTTTTCTATCGTAACCGACATCGTGCGTTTTAAACTTGTTGACTATGTGTGGAGCTGTAGAGCTTACTTTTTAGCATGGTGCCAGCCTCCCGCCCAGTTAATGGCCACTTCACACTTTTGGTCCAACAGACACTCGGCTGCCGTCAGAGTAGCGCCCCCTACTGCTGCCGCATAGTCAAATATGCCCTCCACCACAGGACAGTCATAGCCTGCGAGTAGAAAGAGACATGAGGTAAGGAGAATAGACAAAAGAGCGTAATGTGTCAAAAACAAAACCACAAAGTTAATACTTGTACTATGTTTACACGAGACCGCTGCCCGGAAACTGCCGGGATTTTCGGATGACGATTGGTGAAAAAGTTCCCAATCAACAGCACCGCCGCAACACCTGGAGTCACCTGCAGTTCTCATGCCAGGTCACCGTATGGCGCTGTTATTTTTAGGATGTCGAACGCGTATGCGCTTTAGACCCTTAGCTTCCACCTTATATCACACAGTACGTCGTCTCCCGTGAACGAAGTGCTCAGGTAACACATGTATTCCTAATTAGAAATTTATTTAAGCTGGACAGATTAAGTAGCACGGCCGAACCTGTCCAGCTTCAGTTGGTATCCGCCATAGCTTCCTGCTAGTTCATGCGCCGAATAAATCCTTACAGCCGTGCGCTCTGCGCATGTGCACTTTCACACCTTCAAAAACAATCCAGTGCCTAATGGGAAACTTTTTAACTCAAGGAGTTAGTTTTATAACACACTGGACGGATGAACTCGGGGGCTGGGGAAAATCACATTCGACACAAAAGGAGGAAGTTCCAGTGGGAATAACTGAGAACAGAGCAAAGGGATGATGAGAGTGAAGGAAAGGTGTGAGAGCGACAGATAAAGACAGAATGAGACGAGGAAACAAAAACAAAACGGGTTAACCGCAGGATCAGTCTACTCTAAAGTTAGAAATGGAAATCTCAGCAGATAAAACTTTTATTAAACACAGTGTTATGCTGCCCCCTGGTGCCCACAAACATGTTTGCACCCTTTTCTCCTCTTCAAACTGCAACTTCTGCCTGTGCTGAATACACAGAACTTAAAACTAATTTAAAATACCAACGCATACAGAATCTCTCAGATGGCCAAAGTGTGAAACATATTTTTTCTGGGGTGCTGTTTACCAGCTAAGAATAAATTGCAACTTTAAGTTCTAGTTTGTGTATTCCCCACCCAGGCCGTAGTCGGCTGACTGGGGGTCATCGTTGTCTCCGTCCTGGCTGATCTTGTGCAGATGCTCCAGGTAGGAGTCTGTGTGGAACATGGCCATCTCTTCCATTGTGGCAACTCGAGGTTTCACAACGCTGGAGGAAAGAGAACAAAAAACAGAAAAACATGAAGGGCTAAACTGGGGACCTAAGGGAAGTAAAGCAACTGTGCTAAATAGGCTTTGCAGACATCCGCTAAATATGCATTACACTGTCAACATGCAAAAAATTTACTTTACAGGTTTAGAAAAAAATACATAGAGCAGACATGCATATAACCTTAGAGTATATCTGCATCAACATATTTTGAAACAAAGCTTATTTGGTTATCATGTAAAATAGTAGAAACAGCAGCAATCCCAACTCAGGCTTTTCTTTCTTTTTTGGGTATTATTGGCAAGAAATGATTAAAAGAAAACTTGGCAAATGACAGCAGAGATGTAAACACATATTGACTTTGTTGGGAGCAGAGATGGATATAAGGACTGACGGCTGCTGGGAGGAAGGATATGCCACAATGCTCCATTGTGCACCAAGGATGCAATAGTCTCACTTATTGGCTATACAGTTCTGCAACAGCTTTATTATATAGTCGGAATGTTACTGCCTCAGAAGTTAAAAATGTATCTAAAAATGTTTCAACTTCTTTTGAAAAACCCAATGCTCGCATGATTGTCCATGTTTTCAAACACCTACTGTTTCTGCTCTAGGTGACATTTGAAAGTATTTTTTTAACTCAACTCTTTGACTTGTATTGGGATAATGATTAAAATGGATGCATGTTTCATTCATTCTATTTTCCAAAAAAAATAAGTTCAAACACTAAAATGGTTCACAAATATGTTTTTTTGTAAGTCAGCATATTTTTCGTCTGCCTGTACAGTTTTAAAGAGTAAACCTAAACAACTCACCTCATGTGTGGAAGCAGTCCATAAGCTTCTATCAGGGAGTGGACCATACTCGCCTGGCCATAAAAAACATTGAGAAAATCCCGTTTAAACCCGACCTTATCCGTGTGAATTTAAATCAAACAGAAGCTAACGCTATTTTAGTCCATTTCTATTTGAATTCATCTCCTCACCCTGTTTGGGACTTTGGATAAAGTGTCACAAGTCTCGATGTACTCCGGGCTGTAGATGTACGCCACTCTCCGTTTGCTGCTTTCATCACTGTGCTCTCTGGCACTCATTGGAGTTGCGCCAAATTATGTTAAACTAACCTATTTAAAATTGTTTAAAAGCGAACAGTTAGCTAAAAGATGCGAAAAGACTCTTGTCTCTGGTCTGGTGTTACACCGTCAACATTCCCCCTCACCCGGGCGAAGTAACCGCTGAAACAAAAAAAAGCAAAATATCGAAATTAAATTATGAAATCACTCAATTTATAAGTTAGATAAACTTTATGTAGTTATTTTTAAAGTATTCACTAACCCTTTCATCTGCACTGGAAAGAGGGAGGAACGTTCTCAAGCCGGAAGGATTCCAAGCAGGAAAGAATGTAGACGGTGATGCATTCTGGGATTTGTTGTAGTCTTTTTAGTTTTAAGCCCTTATATTAGGAGACAAGAGATTTATTGACCAAATAATGTCAATAAATAATGCATTTAAAAGAAAACTAAAAGCAGTGTGAGCTTTTTGTTGTTAACTTCTTTTTTAATCAACCCTTTTTCGTTTTAGATTTTCAAATTTGTTTGTAAAAAAACAATTCTGAAGTCTCTAAATTATATATTCAATTTTAAAAAAGTTAATGATGATAATGAATTTTTTTTCAAGTTTATACTCTAATTTTAAAATTAGTTATTGAATGCAACTTATGTGGTCATCTCTCTTTCTGAAATGTTGTTTGGTTTAAATATTTCCAGGTCCTAACATCCTGTAAGAATACCCCATTTAGAGCGCAAGTGAGGGTTGGCATTTATGCTGGGCTAATTTAGTATTGTTAAAACTTAAATTAATAAGTTTTTATATACGCACAATCACACAGTGAAATTTTGGTCTATTCTCACTTCCTGTGAAGTATGCTTTTACTTTGAAGAAGAGATTAGCTGCTTCCGGTTGCGCTCTCATCTCGGATTCATGTTTCACCGCTTTCTTTTCTCGCTTCCTCCAGCTGCTCAACTGTGTTTGCTGCAGCCAAACTGCAGCTTAGTTGTCTTTCTTTCCGGCTACTAGTAATTCAACACAGCGCAGCAGAAAATGACCTCTCTGTCGAGAACCTAAGACAGTTTTTGTCCCGAACTGTGTGTACCCGCCAGTAGAAGAAGTGAGACCTTCACTTGTCAGCATGAGAAGTAGGAGCAACTCTGGCGTTAAATTGGACAACTATGCCCGGGTAGTGCAGCAAACTATCCTGCAGCACCAAGTGAGTGGCAAAAGAGGTTCTACATTAACTTTAATGACTTTAAGAGTTAAGCTAACTTGTTTAGTGGTTGGAAACACTGCAGCAGGACACGGAAGCTAAAAAGAGTTAAAGGTAAAGCATGCACAGGGCGAGGTGAGGTTATATTTCGCAAGTCTGTGCTGCTCTGACATATTTAAATGTTTTTGTACGCGTTTGCAGTCACTGTAGAGGAACTAAAGCAATGTCAGAAACGCATATGTAGTAAAGGTTTTCATGAGAACCTACACTACAGAAATTACTTCCTGAAAAGACATGTTGGTTTGCTCATAATCTTGCTTTTAACCCCATGGATTTCGTGAAAAAAAGAATAAATAAATACATCTGTAAATTTGGGGTACTTTCCAAATTCCAAACGCCTTACTGCAAGAATCTTCTTTTAAATTATGTTGTTTGTTACCTGTATTTAGCTGAAATTTGTAACGGCTTTGTACCAATTTCTGTATTTCTTTGAGGCCGTATCTGCTGAGTCTAATTAGAATTACTTTCTGTGTATTATAAAACATGCAAAACTCATTTTTGTTTTAGCTGAACGATTAAATATGGCAAATGTGGCCTATAAAACAAACAAACAAAAAAAAAAACGTTTTGCTGGTTGCTCAAAATGGTATTATATGAGGGATAAATCGATGTGAAAATTTGGGCTGATACCGATATCTGATATTAGTACTTCTGTCATGGGTAGGAATGCACAATATCATCTGCATGATATCGGCCAATATTAGCTTAATATCGGACATCGGCCATTCTGTCAAAATAATTCACCAGTATAAAAGGCTCTGTTTTTATGTGACAAACCAGTGACAATGATGTCTCCAGCACAGCACGTCATAAGAAACTGTTAAGTATTAATGCACAACTGATGTGCTTTTCACCTGTTCACTTGTTGCTTGTGAACAGGTTGAATTTTGTTTGGTGAAGATTTACAAATTTGCACTGTTTTGAGTGTTGTCATTGTCTTCGAGAAAGCAGATGTTATGGATAAATTTGACATTAAACAGAAAGCAAGTTGAAAGTGTTATATCCTTTTTAGCATTTGCATTTGTTAGCAGGCTAAATGGACAAAGATAATGCAGTATTTTAATTCCACAGTAGAAAAAGCCATTTAGTTTCAGTAAGTAGGTATTGGAAAAAAATATCGGCATTGGTATCGGCTATTGGCCAAATGAGTTTTAGTATATCGGCATATCGGATATTGACCAAAAATCTAATATAGTGCATCCCTAGTTATGACCGATAACATGTTCATCAATATCCCTATTATATATAGAGATCTACCATATATTGGCACTAACATCGGTATTGGCCGATATAAGTCTTTTTTTTTAACATATTGGGCCGATATAAACAACCATTATTTATCTTTATCTTGTTGCTGTCTGATTCTGGTTGGGGGGTTTTTTTCACAAAGGTTTTGAAACGGTAGTGAAATGTATACAATATCAGTAAAAGGCCATAACGGCGATATTAAAATCAGATATCGATATTGTCCCAAATTTTCATATCAGTGCATCCCTACTTATATATGATTCGCTACACTTTTGAGACCATGTAAAAGCAACCACATCACCTACATTGCTTCTCTTCTTCAGTTTAACACTCTGTAATCCTGCACATCATCACTGTCGCTATCACAAGACTGAACAAGTATCACATGGGAACCCCTTCCTCAAACACACAGTAACTAAGTGGAAATAAACATCATTCGTAATATTAATGCAGTTTTACTTATCAGGCCGAATGTTAAAAAAATTACTAACGTCAGCCAATACCGATGATAATATCGATATATCGTGCATCACTAGTTGAGATGCACCAAGAAATTGACCCAAAAAGAGAGATTTTCAGCATCATTTCAAAGCGCTAACATGTCGCCCTGACAACAACTCTCTTCAGTGTGGATGTTGTTACTAAGGCAGGAAACCTTTGCAATTTTTTTTGATGCAACATCAAAAAATGGTGTTGAGCATTTTTAAAAGGAACATTCTCTTTTAAAAAACAAGATTCTCAGTTTTGTACATAATATTTAAGTTCTTAAAAACTGTTTTTGAGGTTGTATATTTGACCAAATCCTACATTAAAAAAGCCAAAAATGTAGCATATTGTTCTCAAGGTACTTAAAAAAATATAACATGATATAATTTTTATTATTCGGCAATATCGCCCATCCCTACACCTAGACCATCTACAGAATGGAAAAAAAAGTTGCTTTCAGTTCTGATGGGGGGAAATATCTCCAATTTTTTTTTCACCCTTTTTTTATTTAAAAAGAGCTGATCTAGCAACTGGGCAAGTTTCGGTTGCTGCCTCATTAATTAGGACGTATGTATGATCTCTCCTATAAAAACTTTAAGCGTTTCAACAATGAAACTTCAAAAACTCGCAGATTTGTTTCCTCACTGTCAAGTTTAACTTTGTTTTGTCAGTTTAGTTTTGAACACGGCCAGTCGTGAAGAGGGGAGCGTCCTGTTTTTCTTTACATCATCTTTGCTTTTCACAGATGATGTGGTTCTTTTGGCTTCTTCAAGGTGTTGCAAAGATTTTTCATCTGAATCACGCGGGTCTGTTTTCTCTGAAACAGGAGGAACTGAATGTGAGGTCAATATCTGAATGTGAACGCGGTCAGTTATTGTGGCTGTGTCCACTTCACTGCTCAAATAGAGCACTTAGCCAACAGTCCTCCATTATCACATCTCGTTACAATTGAAAACTCTCTGGTGGTCCAGTCACGTTGCTCTGCATCTCGGTATTTATGAGTCAGCTGCTTAGATTTCCCTAAAACTCCTCAGCAGTTTGACTTCTACTGCAGCACTTCTGTTCCACCTGGCCGGTAGCCACGCTGTGGAACGGTTTTTCTCTGCTGGGAACAAAAGCTGCCTTGGTGCTGAAAGAGCCAACTGCCACTGTGAGCTAATGAGCTGTAAGGCAGCGACACTTGAGAAAAGCTGAACAAGCAGCTGTATATTTGGACACAAACCCTGATCCAGCAGGAGGGTGACGGGGCTTTATGGGAAACGTAGTTTTAGACATTTTGTTGCTGTCGTAGAATTTCTGATGTGCGTGTTGCCGGGTAGATGATGTCCAGATTTCCTACTGAACGCTAAATGGCTTTGCACTTAAAATTCGGCTGACGTTTTATTTCAAACAGTTTTGCGTTTTCAAATCTTACAGATGTTATGAGCTGGAAGCACGATTCATTTTTTTTAAATTCATGACTACTACAGATGATCCAGAAAAAGAACAATCAGCTGCTTCTGGTCAGAATCAGATTTCTCATAATACCTAAACTTATTGCAGACTAATTCAAACTTAATCATAGGAAATAAGTGAAAGGCCTGGCCTTTATCACATTTAATAATAATAATAATAAAATAAGAGTTTATAGCTCATAAAGATCAGACTGTACAGAATGGAAATTTTAAATTTTATTAAATTAATCTGTTTAAACTATGGGGTTTCACAAAATTAAGACATCATGCAACTGCAATATTATTGGGATTGGGTTGGGAAAGATCATATGTTGTGCACTAATATTATGTTATTTCTCAAATTTCTCACTTTAATGGTGTGCTGTAGTGCCAGAATCAATAATTATGTTGGTGAACTCCAAAAGGTGATAGTTTGAAGCTGATGCTGAAGAGGCCATATTCAACAAAAAGCTGTAGTCCAGACTGAATGTTGTGAGCCTAAAATACTGCTGTAACATTTGACCACCATAAACATCAGTGTAATTGTAAAGATTGTAAACTCGTGTATTTTCCTTCCACCTAGCAGGGATGCTCTACTTTCTGTCCTTCTGTCTTATAAAATCATATTAAAACACACTGAAGTGTCTGGATGTAAGTATTTAATAAGGCATCATACAAGAGAAAAATTGTGATGGGTTGGGATTAACACTCGTTTTTGTCCCAGATATTTTGTCATTGTTTTCACCTCACCTTCCATCCCTGTTGCTCAGCTTTCTCATCATCCATAACTGTGGTTGCTGTGTGTTGGACAGGATCCGGTGACGGGTCTTCTGCCAGGCAGCACCGACCAGCCGGACGCCTGGGTCAGAGACAATGTGTACAGCATTGTGTCCGTGTGGGCCCTCAGCCTGGCCTACAGGAAGAACGCAGA